TGGTTGAAGGAGAGAATTAGTTAGAAATTTATATTTTGATATATGCTGAGTTTAAAGATATTGTTTCCATAATGAGATTACCATTAAACATTGACTATATAGGTCTGGAGTGCAAGAAAATAGTATGGATTAGAATTCATCAGCATTGAATTAAGCTAGGCTAATTGACAGCAGCAAACATTTTCCAGCCATCCTCACTAATATCGGTAGTTTATCATAACAAGAGTGCTTCTTCCCCACATAGCCTGGGAAGATTTCTAGTAGTATCCATTGCATAGAAATCGAAGATGTGAACCATTCTGCAGCACACAAAACAACTCCCCAAAGTAAGAAATTATTTGGCTCCAAATGTCAATAGTAGTAAGGTTTCAAGTTTTTGCTGGAGGGTCTTATCATACCCCTCATGCTGAATAGACCAGAACATGGAGAAAAGTGGCTTTTATTAGTGAAACTCAGATGTGGAAAATAACTCTTTCTCTCTCTGATGAGGTTAATTGCACAGCTACAGACAGCAAGAAGTTTAATCTAAGTGAAAAGTTGGCAAACCATAGCCCACAGAAAAAAATCCAGCCTGCTGCCTATTCCTTAAGTGATGGCTGATTGCAATAGTCGTGTCTATTTGTTCACATATCATCTATACATATTTTGATGTCATTGTGGCAGTAGATCAAATAACTAGCAAAGTCTAGTTTTAATTGAAAACCTATGGTATATCAAGAATAAAAGCAAAATAGATTGTGTTAGATGACTCTACGAGAAATGACATCATTGAAATTATGGTAAAAGATAATATTGCCCATGAAAAGTGTTTGGTAAGAAAGTAAAAGATTCTATAATTAAGCTTATAGTTAGTTTTTTATTAGCAACAAGAACACTGGACTTGGAAGGAAGACTAAACATAAAATTACATATCAAATATCAGTATCCTTTTTCCAGAGATCTTGATTTAAAACAAATAATTAGAAAATGCAATTTTAGCAAAGAATAGATTTGCAATCTTATACTAATTGTGAAAAATCTACATGTCCACATTTATTTCTAAAATTTTCCTCTGCTTTTTCTGGGGGATCGTTGATATTTCAAATTATTTTAAATGTCATGATCTTTTTGAACAACTGTTTTATAACAGTAGGAAATAGCTGAAGTAATGTTTTTAAGTGCAGCAGATATGAATGTCTATCTGCCAATGTGGATATATGCCAATTTGGGTACAATTTTTATAACATGATAATTTCTCCTTTTGCACCTTTATTTTCATGTGTGGCAGAAATTTGATCTGAATCCACACTTAGGTCTTGCTGTCTCAGTGCTGTCTCAGTGCTAGGTTGGGAAGGTTTGTGTAGCAGCCAGATTGTGGGCCCCACTCAGCCTGGGTCTAGTGTTGCATTTACAAAGATGACCATTTGTCTATGTTGTGTGATGCTGGGGCTAGAAGCCAGAAAAGCACTTAGGATACTTTGCCAGCTAGATTCTAATTAGATTTTGCCAATGGAAGACCCTGGTTGTAAGTGGGAGGGACAGGAAGGAGAAAAGATGCTCCAGAATGCTTCTAGTTTCTACTAACATCTCTTCAGAAGAAGAGAAAGTTGCCTCTAGCCTCCACCTTCTGTTGCACTGTCAGCATTAGGATAGTGTACTCCAGAAGTTCCTCTAATAACAATCTTGAGGAGCTTTCTCACAGGCTCATGCAATAGCCATGGGTAGGATGGTGTTCTAATCCAAGTTCCTAATTCAGGTAACTTCTCCTCCTCCCTCTGTTCTACCTCTGGGCATAGTATCTTCTTTTTCAGTTATTAATATTTGGGTGACACAGTGTCTCATTTCTGCTCTTTCAGTCTCCTTACACTCATTTGTCTTGTTCTTTTTTTTAAAAAAAAATACTCATTATTTGAAATCCTGGCAGAGTTTCTGAGTTAGTTTTTGGACTTTGATTGCCATTTGTTTCAGGTTTCTCCTTGTGTGCTGTATTCATCTTGGGAGGACCCTACCTTCCTGTGATTTATCTTGGCTGCTCCTCTGTGAGCTTCACACAGCAATTTCAGCTTTTTTGTTTCTGTTTGTACCTAGATCATGCTGCTTTACTTGTGTCACATTTCCAGTTATTTTTTTTAATCTGCGGGGCTGTGTAAGTATCATCTGCATATGTACCACATAGACAGTTCCTTTGCTTCTGCACAATGTTGAATTTTCTTCCCCTCTGACATTTTCTTTGGGATAATAACACGGTTAATTTGTATTAGAATTCTTGTCACAGAGACACAATACCTGTGTGGTAGATTATCTAAGGATCAATTATTAACACCCAGCTGAACTGAAGCAGTGTGGTACTGGATGTGAATGGCCCACTTCAAGAGCGTCAACAGAGGTTAAGGAGAACTGGAGGGGAAGATGGTGTGATGTTGATCCTCCTGGAGGAGCCTGTCACACTGGCTTTCCTGATTTGAACTCATTTGTTCTCATTGTCAGAGGAGCTTGAGTCCTTGCTGTCATTGAGGATTGTCGGAGGAACTCTGGTCCTCACCTCGAGCATTGCTGTCTGGCTCCAGTGTAGACCCCTCAGCCCATTGGCACAGACTCTTCATTCTCCTGGAACAGACCTTGTAGCTTCCACCATTGCGCTTGGGGCCTTTCCAGTAGAGACCCTTGATACAGACTTGTATGAGCCATTTCTGTGGGATCTAAGCCTCCAGTTAGACTTGTGGGGGCATTGTCATGGGCTCTAGGTCTTTAGATGGACTCATGCAGGACATCGCTATGGGATCCAGGCCCTCAGCTGGAGTCTTTGGGTTTCCTGTGTAAGGATAGAACTCTGGTCCTCTTCTGCATTTGACTTCCTGCATGAATATTATAAAATAATCCTATAAATTTTGTGCTTGTATTAAATCTATTTCCTTGTAAACCCTGACTACAATAACTGACTAACACCCATAATTTAAAGGAAGATAGATTTCATTTGACTCATGTTTTCCAGAAATTCAGTCCATCTTTTGCTGGTCAGAGAAGAAATATCATGGCAGAAGTGTAAAGATGAGCAAAGATACTTAGTTCAGGAGACCAGCATGCAGATCAGGGGAATAATACCAAAGAGGAAAGAACTAGGAAACATGTATGGTAACCAAGGTCACACCTCTGTGACCCACGAGCATGTATTACTAAGTGTTTCTTACTTCAGTGAAGTTGACTAATCCAGATAATGGTCATATTCTCTGTCATGAGATCCATATGCTCACCTCACCAACCAGAATCTGGTCCCATATATTAGAAGCAATGATAGCTAAGCTGTTTAACATTCTCCATTTCACTTTTCATCTCCCTAACTGTGGGCTATTTTCTAGCTTCCAGTGTGTGTGTATGTTTAGGAAGGAAAGCCCTGAGCTGATAAGATTTTAGTTCACAAGTCTTCCTTAGGCCCTGAGTTTTTGAAAATGAAAACTTGCGTAAAAGTTTGACTCTTTTGTTGCCTATCTTCTTTTGGGTCACTTTCCTGCAGCAATATGAGCAAAATATTAGTTGTTCCAAACTGCACAAAAAATGTAAGAATAACCAGAAATATAAGATTAACCTGTAAACTTTCAAACTAGAGTCCTGTCTGAATTTTTTTTCTTATAAAGTCCCTTTTCTCTTGATTTCTACCTCTCTCTTTCCTCAATCACAACCTTCTTCTTTGATTTCCCATCCTAAGAGAGCAATCTCTAGTTAAATAATAATTTGCTCAAACTCTAAGTGTTTAAGGCAATAGGTAACACTAACAGCACCAGCATGACTCCTGTTTGGCTTTAAGCGCTTCAGTCACTTTCATTCTGATAATAGTCCAGTGAGCAGGAAACCATTGACATCCTCATCTTACAGGTGGAAAACTGGGGAGGCCCAGAGGAGTTAAGCAAACACCAAGGCGACACAGTAGCAAGCGAAAGAGCTTCGATGCAAATCTGGGTAGTTTGGCTTTGGAGTTGAGACTTAGTCACGGAATTTTGTCACCTCCCACATATTGACTTGGTTTTGGTAGGAAGCTGACAAACCGATTATATAAAGAATTCTGGTACATTTAAAATATTTCATTGATCTAAAATGTTTCCAAAGAGGCTTGAAAAGAAGAAAATATAAAAGAATGATTTATATTATTCTGCTCACTTTAACAGGGATAATTTACTAACATATTGACTTTAAAAGCACTAGTTGACAGAAGGACAAATTCTTATCACTGTCCCACTCAGATCATCCTAGGCTCATGGGGCTAAATACATGTTCTGTCCTGCTCATCAAAGAGAACATATTCCCATGGAAGGAAAAAGCAAAAGTTAAAAAAAAAAAAAAAAAAAAAGGAAGAAAGAAAAACGCAAAAGCAATGACACAGCCAGGAAAAATGATCCCTGTGTTAAGATACCTGAAAAGAAGGCCAGAGAATATGTATTGTTACAGGGTCATGATCTTTTCAGAGAAAAAAATATGGAGCGATTTACAGGTTTCACCTATTTTTCTAAGCAGTCAAACTTAAGCCAAATTGCAACTCTACTGAAATAGCCAAGGTCACTGGTATTTAGATTGATTACTGAAACAGACATAGAAAAGATGTGTTTATGTAGAAATTTGACTCTTTCATAAAATTTAACTGTTTTCATTTTCATATTTATTCTGGGTAAATATGAGAGCCTTGAACAGTTTTTCTGTGGAAGTAATATTTAATCTGAAAATGATTTTTCATTTCTTTGTTATTATAGCACAGAATGTCTTGTAATCTACTTTTCTTTCCTGTAAACCATGATAATGGTTTAACTTCATTTTTACTTAAAATCTGATAAAGTCTTCTTTATTGTCATATTTTAAATACATATGTTCTCAATGAGTTTCCTGTTGTGGAAGTATTTTCTTACTCAAGTAAAGTTAATCATCCATAAATTACTATGAATGATTCAATTCAATCTGACTCAATTCACTGAGTGAAAGAAAAGAACACAATTAGAAGGTCTTTTGACCCATTCTGGATGAAAAACAAACACACACTGATTTATTCTTTTATTTAAAAAGTGTTCCATATCTATTATATACAAGGCAAAAGTTGGTATGTTAACAATGCCTATTAGGATATCATAATAAATAATGATCCTGAAGAGAACCAGTCCATCCATTCATTTATGCCCTAATGGCTGGGTAAGTTAAATGATGAGGCTGTCCATTTAAGGCTCTTAAAATGCCCCAACTTCTGGTAAATAATATGCACTGTAGTTATAGTTGTACTTTTTTGTTTCCAAGGCTAATAAATAGTAATACCCCATTGAAGTACTTAGAACCTGAACTAGTCACAACTAAGGGCAAAGAAATAAGCTGGTAATGTAAGCCAGGTATAATTTTTCATCTGGTCATTGGTGAACATTTGACATGGTATACAACTACATTAGGTACCTAGTAGATATGCATATAAAAATGCCATATTAAATACATATGTATTGTTAATAAATGAAATAAAAGAACATTTGTGTGGAAATTTCATTAAGGAAAACACAGTCCACATTATCCGTATGTTACTTCCTACTACTTATTAAATTCAATATTTATCTTTTTGTTTCATGTGTATATTTTACAATATAGGAAATTGGATGCGAGACAGAATAATTTATTTAGTGATCAAATTTGGAACTTGAGCAGAATCTTAGCTTTATTTTATTTTTGTTTCAAAATAATTTAAATCCATAAAAGTGGTAAATTTTAAAAATGCAACAAAGCATGTGAAATCACAATGCATTACTTTTATATTTCTTTAAGTGCTACTACTGCACAACTATGAAATTGCTCTATGTGGAATTCTTTTGTTGTGACTTCCATTAATTGAATTCAATCCAGAAAATTTAGATTTTTATTTTTTACAGATTTTCTGTTTCTGTACAACATTAAAGGGAAAAGATCAAAAGATTTTAAAAATTATTGTTTTGTAAAAATAGTCTTGCATGATCTCTACATGAAAATATTTGCACTGTGTCCTCCCAAATAAACATCCAATATTCCTTACTGGGTTATAATACGGTAAAAATTTTAAAAGTAATTAAAATATGTTAATGAAAAGATAATATTTTCATGCTAAACCAAGTGTTGGGAGTCCACACATTATTAAAATGATTTTTAACATAAACTTTGACCTATATTTTTATTTGCCTACATAAAGTTTGAAAATTCTTAACAGTAGAAAAGTCAGTACAACATGATACCAGTCAGGTTTCTTGACACAGACAGAGTTCTATGGGTCAAACTTTCACTCAATTAGCTCCTGGCCTTTGCAACCAGGAGCCTCTTGTTTTCAGTGCTTTAACTAAAGTATAGAAGCTATAAGAACAAGCTATAAAAAAAAGGAAGCATCTTAAAAGCAAAAGTCTTCTCTGATCAATCTGTTTTGTTTTCTTTATTGAACACAGACCTGAATGCTTTTGTGCCTCTAAAGGTTTAGAACACAGCTATCGGGCAGGTAGAAGAAGCACAAAGGTAGAAAAAGAACGGCTTTTGTTTTAACCTTACAATCATCAGCCACAGTGCTTCAAAGGGGCCTCCAGGAGTTCCCTGGTCTCATTTCCTACCTCAAGAGGCAGAACTTCCCGGAAAAATCACTGTTCCTGTTTCCATATATTTTTCAGGGATAACAGTACATTGTTTCTCATTCAGAGTCCAACAGTAGCAAAACTATGCAACCCACTCAGTGCAGTCTGTTTGTTTCCTTAAACCGTTAAACTGGTGATGTCAGAAGAACTGAAAGAAGAGTTCATTTGTACTCATATCGTGTCTGCTTTCTGAGTATCTACTTACCTATAAAGTGGATAAAGCAACCCACAAGTGGGTAAGAACATTATAGTCAGCAGGAGAGTTTTCTGGAATTTTAAAATACCACCAAGGCACTGGTATTAAGTAGTCTAGAGGTAACCACAACTTTTAGAACTGCTGTCACTTCATTGGACAAATATTCATGACTGTCCTTTGGAGTTCCCCAATTATTTATTCATGGATTAATTTTTATATTGATCTAATGCAAAGAGGCACTCTTGAGTTACAGGGAGCTAAGTCAAGAAGGACTGGCATTGTAAGCAATGGTGGCAGATTCCAGGTGGGTCATGCTTTCTAATCCCTAACTACAGAGCTGGATAAGAAAGTGCATCAGTTAAATGTGAAAAAGCATGTGCTGCTCTCCGAAGTCCAGAAGTGCTTAGAAACAGTGGTGTGTATAATTCGGAACAATAAACTACGTGCACAAAAGAATTTTTATCATAACATAAAATTAAAAAGTGACAATTTCATCACACAATTACACTGCTGTTTTCCTCCTCTCTCTCTCTCTCTCTTTTGATTTGTCCTTTTTTGTTTTATGTTTCATTTCCATTTTTTTTTTCTAAACATAGGATTGGGGGAGGATAATGATTGGTCCACTGAAGATTAGTCACCCTCAATGATATATTATTTTAGAAAAAATATCAGCAGCAAGACTCTCTGGAAATAGATTCTGTTTGATGTAGCTAGTCTGTCTTTTCTGTTTTTCCCTCTTTCACGGCAGCCTCTGAAGTTTTCCGCAGGGGGGCTTTCTCCGAGTTGGCATGTCCTTGGCCAGAATCTGCCGCTCCACCGTTTTTATGAGTAGTGTGTTTTTCCAAGTAGTTCAGCATCTCGCTGAGGACTGTCTGGAAAGTGCTTAGAGCTGCACATATTGCTGGAGTCCCAAAGCCATGAGTGATCAAACTAGAAATGAGAAGAGGTAGAAAAAACAGGTGAATAATTTGGAACAAGAAATTTCTACCTCATTTAGTCCAGAACATTCAATTGAACAAGAATTTCTTGTTTTCCTACATGTATCTGAGCATTGTGGAAGATATGACAGAATTCAATATTATCTGTAATCATAAGATGTATAGAACCTATAGTAAGTCCCAGACTTATGAATATTCCAGTTACTACATTTGCATGTATATTGTGTAAGACTCACTTTGATGACTTAGAAACAAATCCAAATTATGAAGAATTTTCTCAGAAAAGAACTCACTCATAAGTCCAGAAATGTATTTGGAGCTTGTCATTGATAAACTTGATATGCACTGATGATCAGCAAATCAGAGTATTTAATATATGACTTGATTTTCCACTGCATTAGAAAGTAGCCAGAAATGTAACTTTCTATGTGTAGGAGTCATCTGGCCTTCAAAAGTGTTATATATACCTTTATGGGAATAAGCCAAACTTGTCCTTTTATTAGGTCTATAGGTTGTCACTATCTTTCCTCTGAATGTTTTACAAAGCTTGCTCTATGCCTCAGTCATAATTAACATAGATTTTAAACACTATTAATCTATGATCACTTAAAAATAGTTCAGGTTTATATAATTATTTGCATCAAAATTGTAATATATCTCTAAATTCAGATGTATATATATAAATCTTTTCTGCATTATCATTTACTATTGAGCAGAAAACCTGATTTCAACTGTTTTCTATAATGATATAGGTACTAGCAGTGAACTCATATGATTTAGGATCCATCAGAGAGTCAGGACAATAAATGAAATTGTTTAGAATATTGGAAGAAGTAACTACGATAGCATTCACAAAATAACTGAGGGAAGCCATCCCTTAATATCCAGATACTGGACCCTAGACATATATTGCTCAGTGTTTCATGTTTTATTTGTTTAGAGCTCATTATACTATTAAAAAGTTTTATTTTCATCCATGTTGCAACATCCTCTTGGTTATGACTCATCTCTCTATCAATAGATGAATATATAGTACCTACTTTAATTGTGGATTGACATTAAAGTTTATAACCACTATTTGAATTACAAATATAACCCAGGCCCTGAATTCTTTATATTTATATACAGTCTTTATCTTTATATAACACATCATAAAATATTAGCTGTGACACTAAGAATTAGATGTTATTGTTTCTATTTTATAGATGATTAACTACAGCTAAAGGATTGAATTGATAATTTACCAAAGATATTAGATATTACCTACTGCCTCTCCACTTATGTTTCATTCAGGATAAAATTTTTATGCCTTGTATTTTTGCATTTCTATTAGTAGTTTTAGTTCAGTTTCTCTGACATAGTTTCTGTGGCCTTCCTTGTAACTCTGAAAAGTGAAGATTTTTCTCACTCATTTTCTGATCTAATAGCAGGAGTTTTAAAATCAAGTACAAAGTGGATAGGTCTGTATAAAATGTCTTCTTTAACCATGTTATCAAAGCACTTGCTGCCACATTGAAAGATACCTCCCAACTGATGGGCTCTCTTGCTTCCAAAAATGCAAACCTGATCATCGCCAGGTTGTATAGTCACCTTTATTCTGGAAGGAGCATCAGATTTACAAAATCATCACGTTGGTTCTTTGTGGCTTGGGAAGTTTATTTAACCTTCTAAGCTGGCAATGGCTTTAGTAGGATATCTACAAGATTCTTTCCAATGTGAAGATGGTGGATCAATAAGAAGCAAGGTAAAGAGCCTCTCTGAGAGAAACATCTCAGACACTAGAATTTACCACCATGGAGAAGACTAGACAAAAAGAGAAGGCTTCAGTTGACTGCTCCCTACCAAGAGCAGATTGCTGAGATCTGTTTGTGTTGGATTACACCCCTGGTAGGGACTCAATAGCCAGGGACAAAACTGCCCCTGAAGCTGTCCTGAACCAGCTCTGTTCAAAGGCACACACTAATGTGGTGAAGGTCCCCGCTGGTTGACTGGCTTGAAAGGGAGTGGCCAGTCTACACCACCCCTGCTTGCACCTCAGTGATCAACAGCAAACTGGAGAGGGCAGCAATCCCTAGCCAGCATGCTTTAGAAGAACTCTAACCAGTACAGAAAGGGGCTGGGACCTCCACAATTCACCTATATGGAAGAAACCAGAAACATGACAAGAGAAAGAAATAAGAAATGTCCTCTAGCCACCAACCCAGGGAATATGGGTCCAGGAGAGGTAAATACAGAAAAGATCCAGGGCAACAAGCATGCAATATCAGACACAGCATCAGCTGACATAAAAAAATAGCTTCATGACATTATAGATGAATATAAAACTGAAATACTAATAAAAGTAAAGCAAGATTTAAGATGATTAATAAAAGAAATGCTAAGCACCTCTCAAGAAGACAGAGATGGAAGAATGGAGGAACACAGAAAAAGAATATTTTAAAAATCTAAAATACATGAAACAAATTCAAAGTGGTTACCAGAAAATTAAAAATACCATTGAAAACTGGCAAAATTGCCTGAAAGAAACTAAAGATAGATTAACAAAACTTGAAGATAGACTTTCAATGTGTGATCATGAAAGGAAAGATCTCTTAAAAATAACAAGGAAACAGGAAGTAACAATACAATGGCTAGAAGATGACAAGAGGATCTATAACTTAAGAATAAAACATGTAAGTGAAGAAGCAGGGGTAAACACAAATAAAATACAAGGGCTATTCACAGAAATAATTAAGGAAAACTTTCCAAGCATAGGAAAAGGAAACGATATTCACTTATATGAGGCATATAGAAATCCAGCCAGCTACAACCAAAACAGATCTACACCCACACATATAATAATCAAGACCCCAGAAATTCATCCAAAGAACAGAATATTAAAAGCAGTCAGAGAAAAGAAACAGATCACCTATAAAGAAAAATCTATCAAAATCACGACAGACTTCTCAACACAAACCATTAAATCAAAAAGAGCTTGGCGTGAAGTATTCCAAACCCTGAAAGAACCTCCAACCCAGATTGGTATACCCTGCAAAACTGTCTCTCAAAATTAATGGAGAAACAAGATGCTTCCATGACAAAGAGGAACTGGGGTAGTTTGTGACCACCAATTCAACCCTACAAAAAAATACTGAAGGTCATTCTAGAGAGAGAGAAAAAAATCACCAAAATCCCAGCAATAGTGGCAGAGAGGCCTCATTGAATGGGGCAGATAGTGGAATGAAGGAGAAAAGTAGACAACCAACAGCAGAAAAATAGCATAGCAGAGATGAGGCAGAGAAGACTGGCTATAATCTCTATCACAGATGGAATGTATCCATCTGTGTATCACTTGATACACTAACAAAAAGAAACACAGGCAGAGTAGATCAGGAGATAGGGTCCATCGAGTGCTCTGTATAGCAAATATAATTAACTTGAAAGAGGGTTTATGAACCAAAAATCAAATATGAGAAAACAATGTTCTATGTGACAGACAACCAGAAAGAATTAGGGGCTGTTCATCCAGCAACTGCAGATAGGCTGGAAAGATATGACACTTTTGTGCAGAGGTGAATCACTCAGCTATAATGAGGGAAAACCTTGAGGCTTTTGTAAGTAAAGGAACACAACTTAAGATCAAACCCAGGGGTAAAAAGGTTCAGAACCACTTAGGTAAATAGTGAGTTTCTCCCTAATCTAAAAACTAAAAGACTTAGTGTGACCCAAAGTGTACAATGTACCCTGAGAAAATGAAAGGGATGAAATTGTCTAAGAAAGGAAGCCAGAGAACATTGATAATAATGTATCAGGATTTAAAATCCACATTATTCTCATTGCTCTGTTTAGTTTGATTATATTCTGTTCCACTCTGTCTACTTGTACTAGATTTGAGAGCACAGACAGCTATTCCAAAAATAGCAGTATATACTATGGTAACCATCCCTTAATTTCCTATTAACTCAATCTGAAATCCTGTGTAACTTACACTGTCTTATTATGACTGATCTTATTTGAATCATATTTGTTATATTACTGTTTTGTGTTGACTGATTTTATTTGAATCTGTTATGTTAGATAGTATGAAGTCTGAGAGTACAGGCAAATACCCTGAAGAGAAGAAGATTCACTAGGATAACCATTCTAGTTTGACTATATTACCTGCTTTTGAAGCTTTATAATGTTTCCAATTCGTTGTTTTTATTAATATTGTTATGCACTGCTATGTTCAGTTGCACTATGCCTGATGATATAGAGGATTCTATTGAAGATAAGAAACATCATAGTAACTATTGTAGATCCCTGGTATTGTGGTTTTACATGTCTTTTTCATTGTGTGTTTTTCTAGGAATCTGTTTTATTTTGTCTTGTTTTGTTTTGTTTTTCCCTCTAATACAAAAGGGATCGATATACGTGTAGAAACTCATTCATGCATAGAACTTCTAAAAAAGTTTATGAGAACTGATTGTATACTGCACAATGAAATGAACAACTACTTTGAAGAAAAAGAGACACTACGGTACTCAGTGCTGATTTTGTAGCATTATGATGTGAAATCCAGCAATATTATTATTCTTTGTTCAGAGTAATTTTAGTCTGTTTTGTTTTATTTAGTTTCAACATATTGAAGGTATGGACAGCTATTTTGAAGAGAATAAGAAACATTATGGCAGCCATTGTTGACTTCCTTGTTGTCTGGTCTTGGAGATGTAAAATGCCTTCGTCATTTTGTTCTGATCAGTTTTATACTATTTTGTTTTGTATGAATTCACTGTATGTGAAGATATGGACAACTATTTGGAAGAAAACAAGAGCTATATGATAGACATGAAAATCTACAGTCGTCTTGCTTTGAAATCTGTGTCTCTTACACTGTTTTTTTATGATCTGTTTTGTTGTTTAATTTTACCCTCTTTAAAATAAAAAAAATGTTCTTTCCAATTCTAAGCATCATTTTAAAAGTGTTAATTCTTTTTTTTTTTTTTTTTTTTTTTTTTTTTGTACCAGGGATCA